ATTTATTTTAACAATTAATTTAAAAACGTGTAAAAAGGGAAATTAAACACATAGTAATTCCTATAAAGAATTAATCGTATGTTGTAAACTAAAGTTCTAAAGCAAATTTGCTACTGCACCATTTGATGCTGGAAAAGACCATAGGGTGATAAACATAGTGACTGTCCGTGTAGGATATCATACTTTTAAAAGTATGGGTCATAGTATTTAATAATATTATTAAAAGTATATTATATCCTACAGAGTCAGATCATTATTCCAAGCTGTAGGGCCTTTATCGAACATATAATTTTTTTTCAGCACAATTGTGCCTTAATTTTCATAAAATATTTTACGAAATACCAAATGGAGATTTTTATGCGAATATTTCCATTTGTGTAACTTTTGAAAATACGTATTTGGATTTGTTAAAAAAGTAATAAATATTTTTTCAAGCTTTAATAACTATAATTTATTGTGAGTTGTTTCCTTTAAACTTTACAAAACATGAGATGTAAACACCAAATATGTAAATGTGGTAATTCTTTAATGGCTCACTCTCGTCTTTGCTCACCATTTATCCCAATTAATTTTTTATAAATGTAATTTGAGAATGTAAGCACTTTATCTACTGTGATAAATTTGGCCTACTCAAATTTGCCCTTTTTTGTAGGAACTTTTTCCGTGTCAGAAATAGATAAGATGCTCCATTATGTACTATATTTTTATTATATCCATGTTGTTTATCTTATATTCACAAGTGTAATTAATATAAACCAATAAAGTATTTTTATAATTTTTTCTCATTTTATTACAAGAACTCTAATTATTTAGAAGTATTTGAGACATAGTACAGAAAAATGATGAAAATTTCGTGGAAAAGAAACATTAAAGATGAGCAGATAGGAAAAAGTTGAAGAAAAAAAGTCGCTATGGAAATCAATAAAAAAAAAAGGAGGCAGGATGGTAGAACATCAAAGATCAGCTAGTTAGAGACAGAGGCAAAGAGGGATAAAAGAATATAGATTTGCAAGTAGTTAAGGATGTGGGACGTTTTAGTTTTAGGGATATACGAAGATTGACTCAGGATACGAAGGAAAGCTGATGAATGTCCAACTAGTCTTCGAATTGATGATTCAATTTATAAAATACACTTATTTTGTTTATTGAAATGGAAAGTCAAAGTGTTTGTGTGTACGTACAATTTGTTGCGTGGTACGTTGGTAGTTTAGCCACATTTATTTTTAATGGGTAAATAACCTAACCTATAAATAATACATAAATAATAGGGATTTGTTAATTATTTCAGAAGTTAATTGTGTGATACCTTTACTTTAGCAAGAACGAATTTCAAATGGATTACTTTGAACGATATGAAGATTTAAATGTAAGATCTATTTATTTTATTTTGCATTATCTGTAATTTTATATAGAAGGAATAATTCGTGTCTATTTGTTTTTTTATAATTTTTATTAACATATGAAAATGAGCTATTACCGTGAAACTATTCCCTTTTTTAAGTTATATTTTATTTTAAACATATGCTATGCTTGATAATGTAAGATTTTGGGGTACAGAAATTACAAAGAAATATTTACTTGGTAATTTCTTTATCACTTCTGATGCCGCTCTACCGATCTTTAAAAAACATTGTCAAGAATAGTAATGAGTAATTAAATAATTAGTAATCGAATGCACTTAATGGATAAAAAATAATTCAAAAATGTAGTTAACTGCGAAGCTGGAACCAATTAATAGATGTATATAAGACCTGGAATATATTAATAGAAATAACTAGTACTTCGTTTTTTTTTATTAATATTACCTCTAAATTAGAAATTTTTGAATGCTAAGTATTAAAATATATTACATATGTAAAATAATTAATATTTACTGCTACAGGTACACAAAACAATGCTGGAAGATATCCCTCGAAATTCTGCATACCAGAAAGCCATTTTCGATAACAAAGATAGTTTTAATGGTAAAATAGTTTTGGATGTGGGCGCCGGAACAGGAATTTTATCCGTCTTTTGCGCTCAAGCGGGCGCTGCAAAAGTTTATGCTGTAGAAGCAAGTAACATTTACAAGTTAGCCCAAGAAATTATAAAAGAAAATAATGTTGACCATATTGTAGAGGTAATGTACTAATTGCAATTTATTATAATAAGCAAATTGAAAAGTCTATAAACAGTTAATTACTAGCAAGTAATTGTAATCAATTTTTATAACTGTTATAAAATTAAGTATTACATAAAATAATAGGGGTCTTAGATATTAATCTGCTATTATCTATAAATCGTTAATCATTTATGTTATAATAAAAAAATGAAATATTCTTTTTCNCTATAGTTATAAATTGCAAAAAAAGTGTAGGAAATGCTTTTCACCCATGCTTAGCTGCCTTTCGAGAAATAAAGTATGTTAAGTTATTCAAAAATTCGCTGTGTTATTTTTTAATACTTTATTGGAAATAATAATAATGCAATTTAATTTTTCATGTTTATGTTTATAACAATAACAAAACTTTAATATATTTTTGAGGTAGTGCATTCCAAAGTGGAAGATTTAAAATTAGATGGAAATGAGAAAGTAGACATAATAATATCAGAATGGATGGGTCACTACTTGCTTCACGAGGGCATGTTGGATAGCGTAATATATGCTAGGGATAATTTTTTACGCCGAGAAGGACTCCTCTTTCCCGAAAATGTCACCCTATTCTCTTCACCCTGCAGGTAATTAACATGCATACAGCGAAAAAATTTACTAATTTCATTATTTTGTTCCAAGTATTCCATCGTTGAACGAGTCATGGGCGAATGTGAATGGGGTCTCAATGAAATCATTTGGAAAACAATTAAAAGAAGCGGCAATGAAGGAACCCCTACTGATTCAAATAAATCCAGATGATGTTCTCTCTGAGCCTGAATCAGTTCTTTGGCTTAATCTTCATGACGTTACATTAGAAGATTTAGAATCAATTAATTTTAGACATGTTACTTCAGCATCAAAGGATGGACGTTATCAAGGGATTTGTTTGTGGTTCACATGTACATTTCCCTATTATTCCACCGAACCAGTCATTTTATCTACTGGGCCTGATGATCCAAAAACACACTGGTTACAGACGGTAATTAGTCTACCTGTTGATGTGGATGTTGAGAAAGGAACACCCCTTGCATATGATTTGGTTTTAAAAAGATCAAACACCTCCCTTAGGAAGTATACTATTGAAATGACCATGCTGGATCCTGAAGAAGTTGAACACCCTATATACTGCGGATGTCATATGACAAAGTGCATTTTAGCAAAAGCTGTAATAGAGAAGTATGACCATGGAGATTTTTCGATGAATTAATAAACAATTATACAAAAGTGAGCACAGTATCATTTGTTATTTAATTGCTTGCTGCTGATGAAATAGTAAATAATTATTTACTGAAAAACGAAAAAGTTTCTTTAAAAATATCTGATATAGACGTCAATTTGCCAAACTGTGGTAAAGGAATACATTAACTAAAAAGAGACATCCTAGTTGCCACTTAAGACTAACTGAGAATATTTGCTTCGTTTACATTTCATGTGGGTGTTATCACGTTAATAATGTATATTTTTTTTAACTTTATGCCTTAATTTTAACCGTTTGCGTTATACGAATATGCTGTGGTTTTTAAAATGATGACTTATGGTGTATGAGCAACGAAAGAGCGCTAGTGAATAACGTGAAAATGGAAAGAAAAAAAATAAATAATTCTTAAGAAATTTTGATTCCCAATTTTATGTAAGTCCATATTTGGTAACATTTTGTTATTTATAGGTTTACATTACCTATTTAAATAGTTCACCAATTCTGTGATAATAGTATAGTTTTTAGTTTTAATTAAAGGCAATTTTCAGGATTAAAAGTGTAATAAATGTGTAAAAATTGTATATACTTCTCCTAAATAAATGTTTGTTTTTTATTATGGTGATAATCTAATCAATTAATAAAGAATTAACGGTAACAACTGCACTGTTTTCTTTTCTAAATTGTTGCTTCCCATTTGTTTCTTCTTTTTTTTGTAAATTCCTACGTTTTCATTTGTACTTTTTGATCATGTCTGGTATATGATTTAAAGTGTCATTGATTATACCTCGTATATTAAAGAATTAGTTTACTTTTAAAGTGACATCTATAGTTAACTAGCGAAAGTTTAAATTACAGATTTCTGTCGCGTTTCAAAAATTTTTCACTACTATACTTCATACGAGGTCCGGTTAAAAAATAATGTGACATGACCCCAAGCAACTTATGCTCTCCTAATACAAAAGTACGAAATTGTTAATTTTCGGTCATGTACAAGGTCTGATCAAGAAATAATCCGACAAGCAAAATTTCCATTTGACGAAATTTTGAACTTTTGTATTAGGAGAGCATAAGATGGATCGGATCTTTTTGATGGAATTATTACATATCGCTAATAGTTATATAGATTACAACCGGATCTATTTAAAGTTTATTGAATTAATGTCTTACGAAAAAATAAAACAATATCTAATTTGTATTAATTTATTTATTGAGGGAAACTATTCCCTTTTTTAAGTTATATTTTATTTTAAACATATGCTATGCTTGATAATGTAAGATTTTGGGGTACAGAAATTACAAAGAAATATTTACTTGGTAATTTCTTTATCACTTCTGATGCCGCTCTACCGATCTTTAAAAAACATTGTCAAGAATAGTAATGAGTAATTAAATAATTAGTAATCGAATGCACTTAATGGATAAAAAATAATTCAAAAATGTAGTTAACTGCGAAGCTGGAACCAATTAATAGATGTATATAAGACCTGGAATATATTAATAGAAATAACTAGTACTTCGTTTTTTTTTATTAATATTACCTCTAAATTAGAAATTTTTGAATGCTAAGTATTAAAATATATTACATATGTAAAATAATTAATATTTACTGCTACAGGTACACAAAACAATGCTGGAAGATATCCCTCGAAATTCTGCATACCAGAAAGCCATTTTCGATAACAAAGATAGTTTTAATGGTAAAATAGTTTTGGATGTGGGCGCCGGAACAGGAATTTTATCCGTCTTTTGCGCTCAAGCGGGCGCTGCAAAAGTTTATGCTGTAGAAGCAAGTAACATTTACAAGTTAGCCCAAGAAATTATAAAAGAAAATAATGTTGACCATATTGTAGAGGTAATGTACTAATTGCAATTTATTATAATAAGCAAATTGAAAAGTCTATAAACAGTTAATTACTAGCAAGTAATTGTAATCAATTTTTATAACTGTTATAAAATTAAGTATTNCACATGCTTTTTAAGAAGCTTTGACGACAATACATCTGTACATTTCTACTACAACAGTATCAGTACTCTTTTTTATCATAAAATTAATTGTTAGGGTAAAGCCTATTGTTATTGGTTTGATAACAAAAAATATGTCATTGTTACGGTTAAATACAGAACGATTACTTTTCGCAGAATTTTGTAAATTTTTGTTAGAACAAAAAACCTCTGTGACCCTTCCACGGGACAGCAAGGTTTCACGGAACACCCCTTGGATACCGCTGTAAGCGCTCTAGTGGATTACCTTGGAGCTTCTTTATAAATCGAAGCTATTCTGGGTTTGTTCCAAGTCTAATTGCATTGCTTCTCATTACTCTTAATTATTTGCGTTTCGACAGCTTCATGTGATAGAAACTTTTCAAAATCAAAATTAGTAAAATCGTATTAAAGATGCACAATTGACCTTCCACTTTTTCCACATTGAAACGGAAAGGAAAGTAAAGTGACAATGAATTGAATATTTTAGCAAGTTTTTAGTATTTCTTGTTTTATTTTGGGGGGTGCTCAATAGAAAATCACCCCACGTGCCAACTCATACTACGCCGCCACTGTATCTTTTCGAATTTTCAGTGTGGGTACACTGAGGATCATTAATTTTTTATGATTCATTATTATGGAACGTTCATCTAATTAATTGTCTTTTCTTCACATTTCCCTACCTCCCTCGCTTGCGTTTAGTGACAGATAGCCCTTTGTCCCCCATTACCAATAAGAGAGTTTGGTAGCAGTATATAAGCGTAGGTGGAAATGAGTGGTGAAAATTTTTTTTTAGTTCGAAAATGTTCAGAATGTTTCAGGTAGATAGACTTATACTAATAACTGAGTAGTGAAGTGTGCCGGTGGGTGAAAAATGTATTACAACCACGACAGAATGAATTGGAAATAGAATTTTCCACTATTAATTACATGCTTTTCCCCTGCATCGTCGGGCATTTCTGCAGATGCAGTGTTGCACCATTCACGTCTAAGAATGTCATGTGTAGCATTAAAATTGCAAAACATTTGAAAGTGAAAATGGGTTACGATATCTAATAAAAATAAAATGTTTTTTTTTTTACGTTGGTTCACAATGGTTGTTGGCACTTGCACGAGGTATACATTATGTATTTGGCAAATATGTACACAATAAGTAATAGAACGATTTTCTTATAATATAAAATTACAAATCAATTTCTAACAACTTTCACAAAATTCTACATGGGCAAAGTAGGGTTTGATATTTTGTAGACGATAGATATTATTTAATTACTTACACATCAGTCTTCTTGTCGTTTTTTCGTTTTTTAAATTATTGAACCTTCAATAAGTCATTGACTTTAAAAAATTGAAAATAAAATTTAATAATCGTTAATTGTAAAATAGGTAAGTAGTGAGGTCTATTTTAAAGACGGATCTGTATAAAGCAGTTGGATCAATAAATTAAGGCAATATACAGCTGCAGACTCCTCTTTGGTCACATGTTACAATCCTTTCAATTGACCTCTATGTTACGCTACTGGACAAGAACAAAATATTTCCATTTGTTTTGTTTTCTTATCCAGATAATAACTACACTACTTTTTAAAGCTATAACCGTAAAAAAAAACAAAATAATACACTGTTATATAATACAAAAAAAATATTTTGGGAGTTCCGCATGAAAACCTTGCTGAGCTGATTGTGAACAATAAAATGTGATAAATGACGTAAATTAATTTAAAAATAAAAAGGAAACAGTTTGAGAAAAAGTATCGCAAGTAACTTAATTTACCTTGGAAAGAACTTGTAAAGACTACAATACGACAAAAGTGTAAATATGCAAATGTTGTCGCATTTGAACTTGCATGGATATTGCGATAAATAATTCGCAGAGTTACTTTGTCGAGTTCGCGCTCCATTGTTCGGGATTTTTTAGTGGCGCTCAGCAAAATTTCAAGCGTGAACATACAACTACATAGCGTCGTGTTGACAAGGTATAAATATCTGTACAAAATGTGTAGGTAGGTAGGATTATAAGGTAGTCTGTTCAACATTGACAGTTAGCAAGTCTGGTAATATTTGTAACTCTTTTAGGAACTATAGGTGATACAAGGGGAAAATTCCTTTACGAAAGTTAATTATGTACCCGCTACAAAAATATTTTTTGTTTTTTTTTTTAATAAGATTTCACTGGTTTTTTAGCAATACAACAATTGATATTCAATTCAACCCAACATGATCTTCTTAATAATTTTTTGCCTAGTTAATTATCTTTAAATCGAGATCGTAAGGGAGAAATTTTAAAAGAAAGACTAAATTTGGTTTTTACGTCAATAAAAGAAAAAAAATTGAACAAAGTTCAGCGTTTGAAAATTTTGAGATTTATGGAATAAAAAAAATAAAATTACGTAATAAACAAAACGGTTATCTTTCGATTCGTATTTTTATGAGCTTTAGTTTGATACCCAACATGAAGACTTTAAAACAGAAAACGACTCAAATTATACCCCAAAAATCCTTAAATTGGGGTCGTGAAATAACATTTACGTGATATAGGGTGAGTTTAGTTTACTATACTGACATAAAGAAAAAGATTTTTTATTTAGACTTTCAAAATTTTGAAAATGTTTTTGAAAAGGGCTAAGAATTGATAAACAAATTATAAATTTTTAAATCCGCTGTTTTGTGAAGATTCATTTGATACCCAATATGATGACCTTAAAAAGTTAATTAATTCATAAAATTAAAACTTAAATTGGAATCATGAGAGAGAAATTACATAATCACTGATCAGAAATGAGTTCGGTTCGATATACTGGCAATGAAAAACAGCAAATCGTTTTTAACATTCAGATATTTCTGTCGGTTTTTAAAATTAAAATGATTTTCTGAAAAAGTAAATCTTAGCCAATAACTAGAATTGGCGATTATTACGTAAATTTAACAGTCGATTACATACCAGATTATTTTGAAAATGTTTACCTTCGCATTTTCTCAACCTTAAAAAAGAAGAGTTTCCATTTCTTACCAATCCACGCCCGGTACATAATTAACTTTCTTAAGAAATTCTAAAGCAACTACTTTGGTAAAGTCAAGATACAAGAGAGTAAACAAACAGATGTGTGATGGAGTTTCATCTCGTTGTAACCAAGCAACAAATAAAAAATACTGTCAGGTTGGACGAGGTAGATCTAGATTTGTGGAATGAACAGGAAATGTCTTGTATCACGTGATCGCTATGAGGATCACCAGGAGCAACAACGAGCCCACTTTGTTATTGTTCATTGTTTGCGAGAGGGAGTTACCACTGTTTTGCGTGCGGGGGTTGTATTCGTCTCTTATCACATTCGTATCAATGTCGCCAGGAGGTTCCGTTGGCTCTTCGTGTATCTTTTTGTGGAAACAAAGTCGCGCCATATTGTTTTGGATCTAAACATAAGAAAAAGATCGATAAAACCAATATTAGAACACAACTATTATATATATCAAGTCGACCAAAACAAGTATTGTTATAGTAATGAAACAATTGTAATAGTAATATTAATCTTGATAACAATTGTTTCTAATTCTTTAACTGAAGAGAGCCCAAAAAATTGTAAACTCCTTGGAAAAGGATAATCTAAAATATTGGATCGATATTGTTTTCCGGGTTCAATGTCATGGTCCATGGAATTTTGAAGTTCCAAATTGATATCAGCACTTGCCAAATCACCAGTTATCCTACCTTTAGCAAGGAACTACGAAATTCTATGAATTACGACAAAACAGCCCGCAAAACAATATCGAATTGATATACGCCAACTGTGTAAAACTGAAAACTACAAGATACTGTGGTGTGCTAATAAACGTCTATAATCCAAAATTCTTAGAAAACGATTCGAAAAACTTCACTTATTAGATGAACCCAAAGCTAAAGAAACTATGGATTCAATTTCTTTCTCTTATTAGAAAGTGTAAAAGATCAGAAACAAACTAGGGTTGTAAATATTTTGATATCAAATGATTGATGTTAATTTTACATCAATAAAATTATTTGCAACCCTATTTTGGCTATAATATTTCACGGCAAAGAAACTATTTTGGCATCAGTGTNAAGGATAAACACAGGAAAGAAAGGCAAAACGGGAAACTATGTATAAAATTATATTATCTTCCTAAATAGATAGGTATGCTAAAGGCGTCCTTCTTGATTACCCCAAGGTACTTCAATTGTCTCTGGAATGGCCAGCGCCCCCCAGGAAGGTTCTAACGTTCCCTGGGGGCGTTATTGTTCTTGTTGGAAATCTATTTTGTATTTCACATTTGAAATAACAAATCAGAAAAGTATTTGCATTTTGTATTTAAATACTTTTAAAAAACCATTTTGCACATCTCTGGTCGGTTGGAGTTGCTTACCAAGAATTAAAATTTCATTGGTTTAGTGTTTAAAAGATTTTTTGATCGGGACTTAATGTGTTTTGGGGCTTTGGTGATGGTGGAATTTAATAGAAAGCCTGCCAGAACGAAGACATGAATCATAGACCATAGTGATTTGCACAGCTACTGCCGGGTACCCGGTTATCTGGTATCCGACAAAATTACTAACCGATGCATCTCTAATTTAAAACTTATTTCATATGTAGTCATATTAAAATACTTATAACTGCAACACATATTTTTTTATAAGATTAACTTTTGATAGCACTGTACTTACTTTTATGTTGAATAGAAGTTACAGCAAAAAAAGGCGCTTGTCTTTTCAAATCCAAATAAATTTTAAAAGTAAAAAAGGTAAAACTAATATCTACATGTGCTATAGGTACATCGTGGTGCAGATAACCCAATCTCAATGCGTTTTTTGTTTTATTTAAATACTAACACTAACTAATAGTTTTTAGCCATTGTTGATGCAAATTTCTTTAATCTGTTGTGTTAGAATCAGCCATATTTTAAAGGTTTTTGTGATCGTTCTTTTTAAGTTTCAACCAACAGTTTTTACATATTTCTCCTGCAGAAAACTTCAAAATTCAATGAAATTCGTCTTAATTATTGAATGAAGAGTTCATCATCCGAGAGGAGAACAATTTTTTAACGTAGTTTTTTTAACAATACTTATGTATATTTCTNCAAAATGAATGTGAAAATGGTTCCTATAACAATGAGTTATGTTTTTTAAAACTTTCTTAATGACTTTTTTGTTGCTCTTATACTTACCTTAGTAATTTATAACATTTAGGATAGCTTGTATAGTTTAAACACAATTATTTTGTTGATTTAACGTTACCAAAAATAGTAGTTTGGCTATCAAAGGAATTGTAGATCCTAAACGTTATAAATTATTAGAATAAGTATAAGGAGCAATAACAATATTAACAAAAATTTTTTTTGAAAACTTATTAAATTCACTGTTATGGGGACCATTTTCATATTGTTATCGGCTTCGAACCTACGGACCTAATTTTCAAATTGTCATAATAGGTATAATAAAGTGTTTATTAGATGTAATTTTAATTATCAAACAATTTGGGTGATCTCTAAATCGTGCAAAATATGTAGTTGATACTTAATAATTCCCCATGAATGCAGGACTTTTTAAATAAATAGACTTGTAGTTACGCTTACTTTTGTGGTGAGGTTTGCTAATATGAAAAGGGATCGTTCAAATATTATGTAATCACATTTAGGGGCAAAGACCCATGGACTTATCTAATTTTTGATGATAAGGCGAGTACATACTTATGTTAAAAATGCACTTACGTAATACTTGAATGACCTTCCAATACGAAATAAGTTTTGAGTGTGTTTAAAAATTGTCTCTTTTTTCTTTTTTTATAGCCTAAATTCTATGGCGACAATGAAAGATCTGACGATAACCATTAAGACCGTTTCATTAACGGGGCCCATAAGAATGAGAGAGAATGTTATAATTAATACATCGTGGTGGTTTAATTTTGTATAAAAAAAATTAGCGAATTTATTATAACGACACATGTTAATACTTAAAAAGAAACAAACCCATTCCTTACTTGCACTTTGTTTATAATTTCATAAAATGTATGTAGGTATTTAACTTTTCATAGTTCTCGTTCAATGAACGTTGATGATATATGGTTAATTTATTAATTTAAAAAAAGTTAATAAAAATTTATTTTAACAATTAATTTAAAAACATGTGTAAAAAGGGAAATTAAACACATAGTAATTCCTATAAAGAATTAATCGTATGTTGTAAACTAAAGTTCTAAAGCAAATTTGCTACTGCACCATTTGATGCTGGAAAAGACCATAGGGTGATAAACATAGTGACTGTCCGTGTAGGATATCATACTTTTAAAAGTATGGGTCATAGTATTTAATAATATTATTAAAAGTATATTATATCCTACAGAGTCAGATCATTATTCCAAGCTGTAGGGCCTTTATCGAA